TCCCTGCGCTGCCCGGGGCTGCCGCAGCTCCCAGGCCAGCATGAGCAAGCAAGTGGGCCTGGCTGCTCCACTCGCTCCCGCCTTTTCCGCTTCCCTGGAAAAGCCTCTCCGCCCTTCCCGGCTCCCACGGGCCTCTCCATCCCCAGGGGCCCTTGCGGATGCTCAGGAGCCGCCTCCTGGCCCAGCAGGATGGATCCTGGTGGGGGTGGGACACAGGGTCCCCCATGCACCCAAGTGCCGAGGCTGCCACAGCCCCCAGAGCAGCAAGGGCCGGGGGCTCCCACGTGGCCTAGAGGTTGGCCGAGGACTTTCGGACGCGGCCCAAAGCCACTGTCACTGCTGCTGGAGGCAGGCGGGACAAGGGAAGAAAGCGGGCGGCAGCAGTGGTGACACCCTCGTCCCCTGTGATTATGGTCTCTGCTTCCAAAATCACCCATCCCACAACATGGAGTGGCTCCCTGAGGCACAGAGTGCCCTGCTGGGTGCATGGAGCAGCCCTCCCGTGGGGCCACGTAGACCAGAGAGTATCTCACCAGCTCGTCCAGGTTCTTCAGGTCACACAGGGAGATGCGCTGGGCCTTGCTGGGGTAGACCAGAGCCTCAGAGTCCAGGCTGTGGCTTTCCCGGTGCATGTCCAGCACCCCATAGGCAATTTGGTCCCTCATCTCCTCCTCGATCTCCTCCTCCATCTGGATGAGCATGGGGGCAAGCATCCCAAACTTGGAGCCTCGCCTGGCCACCTCCAGCAAGCAGAGCACAAAGTTCTTCTCATTTTTCTTCAGCACCAAGTCATTGGTTTCAAACATCAGGACATCCTGGATGCCAAGGTCCTGCCGGCACCACTGGATGAAATTGGAGATGTTATCCCTGGCGATGAAGGAGCCGGGCACCACATTCTTGGCCTGGAAGATGACCTCGTTCTGAGGGATGCGCATGCGGGCCGCGGCCTCGGGGTGCTGCTGCTGGAATTCTAGGGCGGTGCGGTTCACATTGTTGGCGTGTTGGCAGAGGTCGTAGCCCGTCTCCAGCGTCTCCATGAAGTTGTCAACATGGATGTCCAGGTCGTAGAGAGTGTTGAACCACTCGGCGAGGTCCTCCTTCATGGCATAGAGGTACTCCTCGCTGGAGCGGAACGGGCGGATGCTCTTGGAGGCGGCGCTCTGGATGTTGCTCTGGTCGGCCATGGCAAGCGGCTCCGCGCCGCACGTCTCGCTTTGCGAGGGAGGGCATGGGCACGTTAGGGAGGGCTGACCCCACCGAGCTGCTCCCGTGGCCCTGCCAGCCCCACAGGATCTCACAAGGAGCAGAATCTGGTCCGGAATCAGGCCCTTCCACCCTCCCTGGCCTCCGTTTCCCCCTCCTGTTGGCGGCCGGCAGAGCCGGTCCCATCTCTACAACCTTCTCCCCTTTGGACTTGCCAGCTCCAACCTGCCTGGGGTTAATGAGACCCTTGTCACCACTGGCCCCCAGGCAGCCGGGAGGGAGGACCCCCCCTCATGAAGGCACTTGGGCTCTGTCACCCCGCAGGAGTGTCACCGCCACAGGGTGTCACTGGAGGTGTCAGGACAGCTGCCTATACGGCCCCTGCTCCCGAGGGGTGGCCGGGCTACAAGCCCCATGTCCCCACGAGCCCCCATGTGGCTGCCTGGGCTGGGGATTGGGGAAGGTGCTGGTCACGCTGTGCCTGTGGGGGGGGGCATTTGCTGCAGGAGCTCCTGGGGGGGGCACTGTCCCCACTGTGAGCCTGG